CGAAACGTCCGACGTTGACTTTACATTAATACAGCATAATTGCATTATTAAGTTTTTGTTTGTTTTTTCTGTATATTTTCTTCATACTGTCGGATCTATATACATATATTTGTTTACATACCAGAACAATGTATGGAAAATTAATAACAATAATAAAGATGAGGAATGCATTGAAAATACTTTTAAGAGTATCCGATAGTCAAATTATTTCGTATTCAATGTAAAACAAAAGGCTCATCAAATCTATCTATCTATCTATCTATCTATCTATCTATCTATCTATCTATCTATCTATCTATCTATCTATCTATCTATCTATTCTGAGCCTGTTCATCTCTCTCTATATCACTCTCTCTATATTTTTCTATCTAAAAATTCGTTACAACCAATTCTAAAACAACAAAAGATTGAATTAATACAAACAATATTAATAATAAGCTAAAGCATTAAGCAGGAATCTACTCTATTACCTGTAATGATTGTCACAAGAAATATATAGGAGAAACTTGGAGGAATTTAAATGAAAGATTATATGAGCACAATATGATTCTTCTCCTGCAAAAGGTATTTTTGATGTGGGTCTGGATTAGGAGAGATAAAAAAAGTAAAATAAAATTTAAAAAATAAATGAAAAAACATTCAATGCCACAGCAAGGATTAAAAGATCGTTAAATCAACTCAAATTCTGGAGTCATATACTATCTATCTATCTATCTATCTATCTATCTATCTATCTATCTATCTCAGCCTGTTTATTTTAATCTAAGTTTGTCTATTTCTATCTATCTATCTATCTATCTATCTATGAGGGTCAGCTAAATAATTTATAGGTTGTACTAGAATACAACAGCTGGCCGATCAGGTATTTTATTCTGGTATACAGGCATGTTTTTTACTCTACCAACTACTTACATTTATATCTTTGTTAGCCTATAAACTTTTCTGCTGATCCGCATTATCTATCTATCTATCTATCTATCTATCTATCTATCTATCTATCTATCTATTTTGTGATGTCAATGAATACTCGTTTTCCCTTTCGTAATGATCGTTTTAGTAGAGACTTTGTAATCACAGATACAGCTACAGTACGACGTTGAACAATACTGGTGTCAGACGCCTTCGAATAGCAATCGCTTTAATAGTACTTGCTCGATAATACTCGCTCAAATAGTAATCCGTATAGTGAAATACTATAGTGAATAGAGTAGAGAATAGCGGTCTGTATAGTAATAGAGGATAATGTAGAAATAGTGATCTGAATATTAATAGAGGGTAGACTAGAAATGCAGTCATTTAGACGCAAAGCTAATTCCTACTTATGTGTTTCCTCTATGGTCACGTGGTCTACTTAATTCAATAATGGGAACGCCTGTGTTTGCTCACTGGCGATCTATGTTCAAACTCAAGTGTCGGCAGCAACACTTTATTCCTATCTATCTATCTATCTATCTATCTATCTATCTATCTATCTATCTATCTATCTATCTATCTATCTATCTATCCAAGAATTAATGCACTCATTAGTAACAAAATTTGGCTGTTATATGTATAATGAAAATGTGCTGCTAATAACTTTACTATAGAATTGCCTGAAAAGCAGGAAGAAAGGGATTCTTAGTGGTCAAAAATTAATGCATGTATTACTCAAATAAATGAGGCTTTTATATGTATAGTTATATTCATGTATGCATGTCACACACACGCATGTGCACACACGCACACACTTGTAGTGCATACCTTCAATATAACCTGATATTCTAAGAATACATTGATTTTATTACTATAATTACCTTACTACCCATAGATTTATTAATGATTATTATGTACATATTTAAAATTTGTTTCATCAATTTTACACACTCCTTTAGTAAACTGAAAATCAGGAAGAAAGTCATTGTCATTGATGAAAAATTAATGCAACCATTATAGATTGACTGATTCATTTTTTACAGTTTATCAACCTTTTGTAGGTTATTTAAAGCCAGAAAATATTTATAGATTGTAAGAATTGGTTTTTGCGGATAATCATGATTTATTGGTACAAGGCCCACTTAATTAAGCCAGCTCTGAGTAGGGTGTGCTTGAAATTTGGATCTATACATTTCTCAAGGGTTTTTGCACATTAATAAATATACTCAAATTGGAACTCGGCTCTTTTATTTCCAATTCCGAGCCATTATCTGTTACATTACCACACATCCAAGTTTACGGTCCCTGGCATTCCCAAGCAGTCACTCATCTAGATACTGACTAGGCTCGACATTGTTTAACTTTAATGATCATATGTGAACCAGTTTTTCAATGTAATGTGGCTGGGAGCTTGCAGCCGTTATTGATAAAATAGGGCTATTACATATAATACAAATGTATTCATAATGATTTTGCTATAGGAAAACATTGAAAATCAGGAAGAAAAAGATTGTCAGTGGTCAGGAATTAATGCACGTGTTACTTAGTTTTATCCGAGGTGCGACAGAAATACCTCCAACATACTAGTAAGACATTAGTGGCGTATTCATCTAACTACAGTTTTGCCATTATGTGGGAGGTATTTCTGGGAGGTATATGTGGGAGGTATTTTTGCTGCACCCTGTCAGGAATTAATACAGCTTTTACTGTTGGAATAGGGTTAATATATGTGTCAACATAAAATTGAGCGTAATAACAGGAATATTTACTTGTAGTCGTAAACTTAGTCAGGTGTGTCTTTTTTAGCAAATTTAATCCATCATTACGCAAAAGTATTTAATAAGATATGGCACGAGGATATATTTGAGCTGCTATGAAAACTCGATCTATTTGGGAAGAATAATTACACTGGTTGCAAACCACATGCATACAGATAGAAATGTAACGAAGTACATAGACAAAATAGAAAGAGGCATAAGACAGGGATGTGTCTCCTCGCCAGACTTATTCAACCTCTACATGTTTTTACTGAAAAAAAATGATCAGTTCCCTGTACTGCTCCAGTAAGTACCTGACTCCACCTGTTATCCTCTGTGTAATGGGTATGACGATAAACTACATCCGCGTCCTGGGTAAGACGATAAACTACGTCCAACAGCAAGGCCTCTGATCAGGAGGTTTTGAGGAGCGTGGAACCACCTCTTAATTGCTGGTGTTCTCAGGTTCACCCTGACTTGGGGTGGTAGCACATGTTAAGATCCCAGCTATGGGCAAATAGTTAACACCCAAACTGAGGTCAAAAGCATTATAAAATATTACCAGCAATACGTTTTTGAAAAAAAAATAATGTTACCAGTTATACGTTTTTGAAAAAATAATATTACCAGTTATACATCTTTGAGGAAAAAATATTAACTTAAATAGATTTTTGACACAACAAAAATATTACCAGGAAAAAAAAAGTTGTCGGTATTAAATAACCCATTGAGGCTGATATGCCGTAAAACAAACCAAACCAAACCAAACCAAACCAAACCTGTTATCCTCTAGCTCTGCAAGAGCCAAATCAGGCCGAAAATGGAGTACAGTTGCCATATCTGTGCAGGAACTGTCCAATCTTCACTTTCCAGTCTCGATAGACGCCAAAAGCATCTCCGCCTCCTTCTGAGTGCTGAATTATTTTCCACACTGCAACTCTTTGCCCGCAGACAAAATTTCACAAAGCCTCTCCCAGCTTTATCACTATTTCTATGGAAAGTATTCCAATGAACTACATTCCTTAGCTCCACCAGTTCTAACCTAAGACCCACACTGCAGTGAACCACCCTCATTCTCTTCGTATTTCAATGGTGAGATGTAAGTTCTTTTCGCAAACCGCTGCGTTCTGGAACCAACTCCCAAGAGGATGTTTCTCCGATCACTAGAATCCTAACCTGTTCAGGTTTTGGGTCAATCATTATCTTCCAGACATATCCCCATGGATTGTGCCTTTTACTCTGTAATCCTCTACCTCGAGTGGCTCCAGAGCCTTGTACATGGTGAACATCACTGAAAAAAAAATAGAAGCTTGTTAACAATCATGCTGCAATAAGTACTGGTGTCCACAGTAATAGGGGTAACCAGTTTCGATCAAACTCGCTTTTTTTTTTTTAATGTACTTTGAACTTTCAGGACAGAGATGATCATGTCTTTCTATAAATTAACCTGTTGAGGTCTCAGGTTAACTGTTATCTTCCCAATATATCCCCATCAACTTGTGTGGCTCTTTGGCCTTATACTTGGTGAACATCATTGAAAAAAAATCTCAATAGGTGCTCAAGGCACCAGGCCTCCTTGAGAGGATACCTCATCCCTGCGATAGGTGAAAATTCAGGGTCTGCCTGGTGATAATGGAACGTCCCTGATGTGGATATTTCAAAATTATAATGTTTAACCTGGGACTTGAAAAGGTTAAGAATTCATTTTAAAACTTAAAAAAAAAATATTGCGATGATGATCCAAATTGCAGCAGCAATGTTAGTCATCGCTCAAGCAGTTTTCTGACAATGAAAGTTGACCTTTCAAATTTACTTGATTTGTGAATTAATGAGTCAGTCAATCTCTTTTCTTTTTGTGTGGGAAGGCCAGACTACACAATGGTAATAGTTATCCATTTATTGAACTTTTGATTTTATATTTTTGCCTGAGTCATCGAAAAATTTGAAAATAACAAATCCTTCGTCTGAGTATGGATGGGAGAGGAAGAAAGAGAGAGAGTAAATATATAGATATATGTCAGATTACTTTTCATGCGTGTTTACATGCCAAAAAAAAAAAAAAATAGCACAGAGTTTTGAGATAATGAAACTTCTCCATTTCGATGTATATCTTTCTTCTTCAAAGTCTTTCTCGTCTTTGAAGTCTCTCCCTTTCTGTATCTCTCTCTATGATAGCTATAAATTTATATTTCTCCCTCCCTCCTTCACTTTCTCTCTCTCCTTCTCTTTTTATATATACATGTTTATGAGTTTGTATGCACAGAGAGAGAGAGAGAGAGAGAGAGAGAGAGAGAGAGAGAGAGAGAGAGAGGGGGCTCCCAGATATATCACACTGAAACAGTAGCTCTCGTATGATCACTGAAGTTAAGCTATGTTGTGTCCGGTCAGTATCTATATGGGTGACCACATGGGAGTACCAGGTATTGTAAGTGTGGCTGTGCAGATGGTGTAATGGAAAATGGATTGGAACAGGAAACAGGAGTGCCGAGTTCCAATTCAGGTCAGGTTTGTTACATTGACTTATGCACAAATACCCTTGGGAAAAATATGAATCCACCTTTTCTCTCTCCCTTCGATGTCTCTCCCATTCTATGGCTCTCTCTGTGTCTATTTTTCTGTCTCTGTCGTTATAAATATATATCCAAGCTTTTTTCTCTCAATGTTTTCAATATATTTCTCTCTTTTTCACTCCCCCTTTTCCCTTCCCTTTTTATGTGTTTGCGTTTATGTACACACACACACACACACACACACACACACACACACACACACACACACACACACACACACACACACACATATCTATCTATCTATCTATCTATCTATCTATCTATCTATCTATCTATCCTTTAAAAATCAGGAGGTCAGTTGAATTCGCTACCTTGGTTTCAACCTTACGGTATCCTCAGGCAGTTTCTATCAAATGACCTCTTAACGCTCTATTTTTTTAAAACTAATGATCGCTATATTAATAAAATAAATAAACAAATGCACGACGTTGGGTATAATAGAAAGGGAGGAGGAGGATGTAAAGAAGGAGGAGGAGGAGGCGGTGGAAGAAGAATAAGGGGGGGAGAAGAAAAGGGCTTTCTTTTTTTTTAAAAATAAAGCGTTAAGAGATCATTTGATAAAGACTGACAGAAGATTCCATAAGGTTGAAACCAAGGTATCGGCTTCAACTGAACTCCTGATTTTTAAATTTAAAAGCTCTACATGTTATTTTTACTTTAATTTATTTTTTTTACACGTATATTGATCACTTTTTAATACTACTGTTTCCTGATTTGATTCAACTTTGACCATTAACCTTTTATCTATCTATCTATCTATCTATCTGTACATGCGCACATTAAATATAGCATATGCACTTCAAGATACTGTATCCTTCGGTGAAAAATATTTTATTTAATACTAGCAACATGGCGCGGGGTTGCCCGTGCTTGATTCAAAAATCGTACGACTGATACAGCAATCGCTATCACTTGTGTTTAAAATATTTTTGCCCTTCCTTGCCTCTAAAGGAGTGCCCTTTGCCGTGCTGATGTTGCGACATGCCTTACTTCTTGCCTATCTCACATTGCGAATTTTTTCTAAGCTCTTATACTAAACATTAAATCTGTTACGAAAAAAGAACTAAACAAAATGAACACAAAACGATCAGCTTTAAAAAAGGACTCGTAACTGGAAAAACCGAATGAGAAAAGAATGTTAACAACAAATACTTTTTCACACCCAACCCAGTTCTGCGGAATCAGAATCAACGTTGAGTTTAAGCAAGTGAATGAGCCAATTGGAGTAAAGTGCCATGCAGATTTAAATTTTTCCCACTTGTGACGAATGCAGCTATCGATTTTTTTTGCATGCTAGCATGCTAGTTAACATTCGTGTCAGTCAGCTGTTGGCTCTCACGTTGGCCAATAGAATCTTCCTGCCTATTCGTGGCAGCCAGCTATTGGCTCTCACTCTGGACAGTAGAAAATGGCCGCAAACTACATGAAAACTGCCGAAGAAGCAAGAAAAAATCGATTATTTCTACTATCGATGGGATTTGGGAAATGCAAAGTCGGTCTTGGCCTTTCCACTAACTTGGAGCATGTGCATGTAAATTTTGGTGCAAATCCGTCAAAAACTGCGGCCGTGCATTCGTTACACACACACACACACACACATCCTGCTTTTATAGATAGAGATGGGCTGTTTATTTTGTATAATACTAGCTCCAGGATTTGGGGTTTTCCTTGCATTGAATGCTATAAAGTATTTGACATTAACCACAGACAAATAAAGTGAATAAAGTCCATATTTACAAACACACCATTTCTGATATTGAGTACTATTACTCATAAATATATCATTTTTTTCTACAGTAAGATTCACCTTTTACAAGGCCCGGGGGCTACTCGAGGTAGAAGGTCGTTTAAGAGGTAGTTTATATGGATAGGAGAGGAAGATAACGGTTGACTCCAGACTTGAACAGGTTAAGATTGTAATGATCGGGGAAACATCTTCTTGGGAGTCCGTTCCACGGAGCAGTGCTTCACGAGAAGAAGCTGTTCGAGTGGAACAAACTTCTCGTCGATGAAATACGGAGGGAATGTGGGTGGTTTGTTACTATGTAACTGGCATGGTGGGCCCTAGCCCTGAAGGTAAGACCTGGTGGAACCAGGAGATGCAGTTCGTCCGAGAACTTGCCATGGTAATAGCGATAGAGCAGTGAGAGCCTCGTCACATCCCGCCTGTGAGAGAGAGAGGTTGGAGTGTGGCAAATAATTCTTCTCCAACAAGGAATCGGATACGTTTTTGAACTCGACCAAAACTGGAAATTGAGATTTGGGCAGCTCATGCCTAAGTATGGCAACAGTACTCAGTTTTCGAGCTGATCTGGCTCTTATAAAGGATATCATAAATACCTCAAAACTATATCTTTATATCATATATATATATATATATATATATATATATATATATAGTTCCATGGAGAGTGGCTGCGACTTAAGGTTTCACGATTTCGAGATCTTCAAACAAACTGGTTTATTTTTTCGAAAGTAGATCTATTTATGCTTTATTTGTGTTTGTTTGTTTGTGTATGGTGGGAGGGGGGATTTTTGTTTTGTTCTGTGTTTGTTTCGGATAAAACTCACATATACACTGATACACATACATACAGACGTATACATGTTAGTTCACACACACACACATATTCATAATCTTGAGTAGGCGCAGTTATATATTCGTACGCTCGAGCACACATATGTACGCAATTTTCATTTTGTCTATTTCGGTGCCAAGATTGTAGAAAATATATGTATATATCTTGGCCACCATGATATATATATATATATATATATATATATATATATATATATATATATATATATATATATATATATAAATATAAAAAACAAACAAAAATCCTACTATGCAATTATGCTGTTTTTAATGTTAATATAATTTCAACGTTTGACATTATATTAACATTAAAACAACATAATTGCATATTAGGATTTTGTTTTTTTTCCGTATATTTTCTTCATTTCTATATCCATATATTTGCTCATATATATATATATATTTATATATATATATATATATATACACCCAAGCATAGGATTGGTGTATACGGAATAAATTCCAATAACCAAAAAAATATTATTCTTAATAGAGTGATCAACACAGAGTAGAGCAAATATAATTTATTCGAAAATTACACCATAAATATGTTATGACATCACCATAAAAATAGCGATTTTGTTTTAACACTTCTGGTATCTTATCAAGTGATGGTGTTTTTTCACTAAATCAAGAAAATACGATTTTTGTTTTACAAGTTTGAAGCACGCAAAGTCCCAGCTCATTTTCTTCAAGAATACCGACCAGAATTCAGAAATAAACCTACGCATCACTCAAACACTACGGAATTCAACTCCATTCTAAATTAAACAGCACTGTTTCTCCTACGCTCAACAGATAAAGATATAAAATAATACCAATGCGACCCACTGACCTTTTTCTCTCTTTAAAGATGTTAACATGAACAAAACTAAAAAAAATCTGCAAGTACGATTTAATAATATACGAAGATAGTTCAACTCCAAGAAAAATCGACAATGATACCAGATATCTTCAAAAGTTCTTACAGAACATGCATTCGAATCTAGGTAGCAATTTGACCAGCATCAGCTCGGCAACTTTACAAATCAAAGCTTCTTCTATTAAAATTTTGTGCACCAACATTATCCACGCACAGCAAAACAAACAAAGCCTTCTAAACAAAATCAATTCAACGTGGAGCATTGGAATACAACAAAATTTTAATAATACCAACCGCTGAACTCTCTCTTTCTACACTACCGACATATTTTCCAGGGCGTGCTACTTTCTGACCCACTAGAAAATTATACAACACCCTGATAGCACAGTACTTGCCACAAGTACATTTTCGTCGACATGTTTAAACACACATCACAACAACTCTATTCGACTCTTATTCTTTTCAGTTTATGAAGGAAAAAGAATCAAATTGCAAAGCCACAAATTTTTACCCCATATCAACCCAAGAAAGACGTTAAAGATCATGCCAAATACACAAGATCAGGCTGACGCATGCATTGGCCCGACAAATTCAAGTCATGAAAAACATATATACGATTACCAACCTTTTGCATTTCAACCCCTCAGGTACTTTTAGCTGTTAACTGGTATAACTATAATGCTTTCCAAGCAGCAAGCTACCTAAAATCTACACAAGTTTCAAACATCACTCACTATTTACGAAACAATTTTGAAGGCACGATTTTAACAAACCCTTTTAGATAGTAAAGGCTCTAGAATTAACTCGTTTGGCGAACTCTATATTCAACACCATTTTTGACCCCCTGTAAGCAAATCAATTCATTTTTCTTTCTCTCTATAATTTCTTGGTAAGGTTATTCTGAGAAAATTCTCAACACAACATTTTCTCTGGTAAGGGAGTACTTATAGCAGAAATACACAATTTATACATAGTTAGAGATATACAATGTAAAGCCAAATTTATACAGTTATTAGAAAACATATATCTCTAACCACACACCAATTTTCATCTAAGTCACACACACGCCGTACTCTACTCAAAACAAATTTTAAAACAAACACAAACATAACAGATTGCTGGCCATTATCGACGCAACTCTCGCTGGCCTCATAAGTCTACAACTACGTCCGTGCGTTTCCCTTATATACGCTATAAGAGAAGCAGAACAGAAGAGAGAGAGAGAGAGAGAGAGAGAGAGAGAGAGAGAGAGAGAAAAAACGTCACACGCACACGATCTAACCAAGAGTGTGACTGACTGCTCGTCCGACCATTAGGCTGTGAAAACGACCTTCTGTGAATACAGAAAGAGAATAGTTTCCACTATGAACGCGACAAGCCTAAACCGCTAGCCAACAG